AAAACTATATATGGGTGTACTAGTAACAAACAAAAAAGTAACTTCGATTTTAATAGTAAAAATTGACATGTTTCACAAAAATTTTACATAGCTATGACAGTAGACATGTTGATCGCGTGAAATCCTGTCTGACTGTTACACGTACTTCACAAAATGAAGCATTCAATAGAATTAAACTTGTTTATACATCAAAACTAATTGATTACCCTGTATCATATCAAACAAGACACACACTTGCAATTCTACATAATAATGAAGGAATCTGTGAAATGGTAAGTATAGTTCGCCAAGCTTGTATGGCACCCTTATCTCCACAAAATCTTTTTAATATAGCTAAGATTGAAGAAGGACGTGACAAACAATGGATAAGGAATTTAAATCAAATCACAAAACGTAATTCTGAGAGAGCACTTGAATTGCAAAGTTTACGTGTAGACCTTAATTTTTTTGATTGGGACCAAGTAATTTCTAAAGAAAGCATTTATATATTAATGTAATAGATATTATTAATTTTTTCCTTCCTCTGCCTGGCTTTTTTTAGGAATTAGTGTTTTATGGAAGAAAAGCTCAATTCCAACATCTTCCATCCTTCATTTGCCTCTCATATAACTGATTTTGATGAAACAACTAAATGTCTTGCATGTCATTCATTTCCAAAATGTACTGCCAGAGGTCTTTGTAAGTTATGCAGATTTTATGTTGATAATGGACTGAAGAGCCAAATTGTTGATAAAAATTATCAATCAAAAATTGAAGTCTTGGAGAAAATTGATTTAGAGACAATGTGTGAATCAGCACTTAATGGAATTTTTGGTTTTTCAGACTTTTGTGATGGACAAAAAGATGCAATCTTATCTTTTGCTCAAAATCATGATACTCTTGTTCTGAAACAAACAGGTGGTGGCAAAAGTCTGTGTTATGCTTTAGCATCAGTTATGACAGCAGGAATTATTGTAGTTTTTTCTCCATTGAAGGCACTAATTGATGACCAAGTCCTTGAATTGATCAATGCAGGAGTACCTTGTTGTGGTCTTTATGCGTCAACAGCACAACCAGTTCATTATCAACAAAAAGTCTTTCAAGAAATTTCATGTGGATTAACAAAGGTAATTTTTACAACACCTGAAAAATTCAAATTCAACATTGGATTTCGGAAAATGTTAGAAAGAGTTGGTTTGTTGTTGATGAAGCACATCGCATTTTAGATCAGGAACATTTTAGGTAATTTTTATAAATAAATACATCTTTTTCATATTGACTCATTTATTTATATTCTTGTTTATTTAGAGATTCATGGAGTTATTTGTGCAATCTTAAACAAATTTTTCCAGTAAAAATATTGATGCACAAGAAATTGTGGCACGTCTTGGTATAAACCATCAAAAAATATTAGTAATTTGTGATAAATATTTTGGAAATAATTCAATTATTTTCCAAGTACAAAAAAGAAGGGACAATAAAGAACAATTCTTGGAAGATATTCTGAGGGCTATTAATGAAGTTGAAGTTGGAAAATGCATTATTTATTGTGCATCTGTAAAAGGATGTGAGAATTTATTATCAGAT